TTTCGGCCTTTATGCCATCCGAAATTCTTCGGGGTCTCTCAATCCAGGTAACCTTCAGGAAAATTCGAACTGTTTTGTTTTTGTTTTTAGTATTTCTTCGTTATTACTCCAAGAGGCACGGTTGGGTAATGGATAGCTGCTCCGATTGAGGAATCGGAGAGCCGAGTTCGAATTCCAGTCGAATCCATTGCATTCTTTTACATGCTATGAATCCTCTTCTCCTCCCCACATCTATGGGTAAATAGCAGGACATACCGGGTTCTATAGTCTTGGATGGCAACTGGTCTACCGCAGAAAGAAATGGCAACCTGCTGCGTGGAAAAAATCTGCCTCGTCAGTCATGTATGGGAAGATACATGATCGCTTAAGCGTGTATTACGCATGGTACATAACTGAACTAGATATTACTCGCGCTGTTTTCACTGTCTGAATTACACGACCCAGGTATTGAATTCACACTCACAATATCACCAGATTCACGAACCGTCTAGCAGGAATAGATACTTGATGAAGACCAGAGGGCACAATGACCTAAACGTTGTGATAGAAACAACAAAGAGGAGGATATTAGTTCGAATATACATAAAGTAAATAACGATAATTCCTCAGGCAAGACTAATACAAACTAATATTTGCATATGCTTTATTTGTAACGTTTTGCTTACTTAGTAAATGAAACCAGTTTCTCTTCACGCAAAGTCTACTTTCCTCGCAATGCGCTAAACATCCTCGATGAACAGAAGCAAAAACGACAAACAGATATCAAGAGCAGCGGGGGGGGGGCAATGCAAATCGCCCATTTTATGTGAAATCAAGCAAACACGAAACTTAGCCTATCTGCGGCCATTTTGTTTTCATTTTATCTATCCATTTTTTTCACTTTCATTTCTGCATTTTTCTGTTATTATTCTGTCCTTGTTGTTCGTTGTGCCGATGGAATTGACTTATTGGATTTATATGGTTGAATTGACAATGTTCACACCGAGGGTGGGGGATGGTGCCTCTAGATGGCAGAAGTTTTTTTGTTTTTTGTTTTTTATTTTTACACCGAATACAACACCCGTCGGTTGCCTTGAGATTTCACGAATAAATCTGTTTACTTTTAATCATCAACCACTATTTTTGTTGTTTTGGACGGAGAAAAATCAATCCCAAATCTGCGTTCGCTATCTTCAATTTCACTGCCTTCGATCTCCAGTTTTTTTTTTTGTGTGTGTGTGTGCCAGGCCGTAAATCGATTTATGTGTATAGATAGAAAAATCTGCTGTAATCTGCACATAGCTTAACTATCAAAAGAAAACAATCTATTTTGTTCGAATACATGAAATAGTATTTAATCATTAAACTGCTGGAAAAAAAAGTTTTATGAATGTTCTGCCCACCAAACGGATAAAAAAAACGAGACAATTATTTTTAAAAAGCCAGTTTTTATCTGTTTATATGTCTGGGATGAGGTATTATGTACACTATTTACCTTTACTATTGTCCTCATCTTTGTTGCCATATTTATTAAAGCGTTTCGGCCGTTGTACGCTCCGGTCTTCTTCAAGTGGTTGGAAGGACGAAACTTTATTTCGCTCGCTGGGGTAGACTGTTCTAATTCCACGTATCATGTCTAATGGATATCAGTTATCAGTTATCTCCTGTTAATTCACCCCTCCAAGTTATCCACTGCCTTAATTCACAGCTCTTTGGGTCCTGTCACTGGATCTAACCGACACCTTTATCCACTGTCTCCTTAATGACATCTGATTTTCTGGGACTTATAAATTTAATTTCAGCTACTATTTTTACCAGTGCTCATATTGCAATTTTTGCTGTTAACATTGCATTTTTTTTTTAACCAAAACTCATATTGCCATTTTCGTTGTTATTATTGCTTTTCTCTGGCACTCCTTATTACTGGTTCCCATATTGTATTCATTTCTATGCTTGGTCGGCTCAGGAAATTATCGTGGCCCAGCATATGTGCTGATTCCTTAAGTTTACGAATTTTCCAGTGATGTTCTTTGTCTATGATTTCAACCTGATACCACAGAAGGCGGTGATCTCCCTTTTTTTTCTATATGTGGTCAGCCACACCTGATTTTTCCACTTCCCCTCGTGTTACAGCTTTTTGGTATGCCAGTTTTTATAATTATTTTCGCATTAATTATATATTAAGAAAATATAAAAATAATATCTTAATTATTTTTTATTATAAAAAATAAAAAAAATAGAAGAAATAAACGCTATATTGAGTTTCTAAATTTAATGTCTTTTAACAGTATGATACTTCTGGAATCTTTCCACGCACAATGGTAAATGTGCGAGTGGTGTAATAGATAAGCGAGTCGGTATGAGTTCAAATTCCAGTCGGGTTAGTTACATTCATTTAGGTGGCAAAGTTATGAATCCATCCTCTAGCTATGGGTTAAATTGTATGACGTGTATCTGGAAAAATAATTGTTAATCTCAAAAGTATTTTCAATGCAATATTCACTCACCAGAATAAATGATTACTCTTAAATCCAAAATATATTTCGATACGAAATAAACTACACAGAGTTTGTAAACCGTAATATATATATATATATATATATATATATATATATATATATATATATATATATATATATATATCAATCATTATCCCTGCACAATAGTTTGAAAATTTTTTTCTGCCAACTTGTAGACCTTTTTCGTCTCTTTTTCTTTCAAGATGTCGGATGCAGCCATAGCAATATGGTTTGTTCTTCGGGTGATATTTGCAGGCAAGTACTCCAGGTAATAATGTAACTCTCTGAATCCTATTAACAAAAACCTCATCGTCCTGGGTATGACGATTAACTACATTCGGCAGCAAGTCCCCTGATCGTGAGATTTGGAGGTTTTGAGGGGCGTGGAACCACCAATTAATTGCTGTTGTTCCCAGGTTCACCCTGATCCGAGGTGGTAGCACTTGTTAGGGTCCCAGCTTAACCCTCAAACTGGATTCAAAACACAACGAATGTATAGAAATATATTTTTATAGTAAAATTTCTAGCAATACATTTGACTCTCGACAAAAACCCTCTTCATAAAAATATGTCAATGAAACTTGATCTACAGATTTCTTACAAAGAGTATACAGGGTGCGATGGGTAAATTGTCGCTATTTTATATTTTTAATTTTGAGCATGCGCGCTGTTCGTTTTTGATTTTGTCGACTGCACAGTATAGTAGGGTCAGTTGGGCACCGTCTGTGAGAAAAAAAGCACCTAGATGCAATTTATTCCGATAGAAGTTTGGAAACGGCATGCTGTACTGCTTGGCATTCGTACCGGAAACTCTAATACGAACATTTCAGAGTGTTTGGGTGTCAATCTGAGGACAATGCAGTGATGCTGTGTCCCTTGGAAAGATGTAACGAGATGAAAACCAAATATCCAGTCAACATCATGTGTTTAGAGTGATTAGTAGCGATGGTGACTTAATGCTTCCATTCATCTCCCCACAGGGCCTCAGGCTAAACACAGAGGCCTACATCAAGTGACTTGAGGAGGTAATGTTGCTCTGTGTCAAGAGGGTGGCTACCGATCTGGCAACAGGATTCTGCACCATACCACACAAGCAGGAGAACCCAGTCAATTTCTAAGACCACATCATCCCTTACCTCTGGCCACCTAACTCCCCAGATTGCAACCCCCTTGATTATTATGTGTGGGGTGCAGTTAAGCGAGATACCAACAAAACTCCTTGTAACACCAAAGATTAACTGAAGGCAAGGATTATGGCAGCATTCACCAACTTAAACAATGAGACCGTCCAGAAAAGTTGCAGGAGATTCCGAAGTTGTCTGGAGGCTGTAGTTGAAGCCAACAGCGATTTTATTGAATAAATTGACTCTTTAGTATTTCAAGATATTTTTGTGTAATTTTAGTAAATATATCCGTGAAAATGAGATGTTAGTGTTATTTTCATTTTTGCCAAATTTAAACGACAATTTATCCATCGCATATATTTTATTCATACGAACATATCTTAAAAACCTTGTCGACATCAAATAACTCATTGAGACTGATATACCGTAAAGCAACATAAACCAAACCAATAAACTCATGAACCCAAAGAGTAAAAGTTAGTCATTTAAACTCGAATCATGAATGAATAATGCTCGTATTTTTGGAAAAGTTAAAATCATTAAATGGTAATATACGCTGATCTCCAATTGATGAAAAGTAATTAATAACCACGTGCGGTTAGTGTAACACTTATAAGCACTGAAAGTGAAATTAGCAAGCCGAGTTCAAATTCTGGCCTACTCTACTTCCTTCACATTCCCACATATACTTTTCGGAAAGAATTTCTCTTCTCCCGCCAGCTATGGGTTAAATAGCAGGACAGAATGAGTGGCACCAGTCTAAAATGTAAATACTCTGAATTCCTAACCGTGGAGAAAGCTACGGAAAACTACTCCACTATCTTTTCGAAGAGGTTGTGGCAATTCAAAAAGAAAAAAAGAAAAAAGAAATCGTTCTGGAATGGGATGGCATCAAAATAAAACGTTAAATATCATTAAATGAATATCATACTTAGAAGAAATCCAGTTACGTTTCAAGATGTTTCCGAATTAAAATTTTATATTGAGTTGTCCAAAAAGTTCCTTTTACTGTTTAAGTAGAGAATTTACTTAATAAACCGAAAGATTTTTGGCCAGCCCTATATTTTATTTACAAATTTCGAAATAAACGTTGGAATTTTTAACAAGTTTTGAAAAACTATTTTGGTAGTGACGTGTTCATTTCACTTTCTCTTCTCAAAAATAAATCTTTTTTTTTTTTTCGCGCTAATTAAATCAAATAAATTGATCAGCCAGCACGCATGCGTAAAATCACGATTATATTCAAATATCCCTTTTCATTTTTCTTTGACCATCCATTTTTGAAGTATCGAAAAAATGGCCGTATTATTGAATTTTATTAAAAGATTAAAGCAATTCAGTCATATCATTGTGTATAAACGGGCAAAAACTGAAACAGAGTTTGCGCAATCATATATACATGCTCCTTCTTTCTTTCTTTCTTTCTTTCTTTCTTTCTTTCTCTCTCTCACCTCTTGTCTCCCATAGATTCCTCTCTCTTTTCTCTTCTCTTTCTCTCTCTCTCTCTCTCTCTCTCTCTCTCTTCCTCTTTTCCTTTACACCCACATTCACTCGTTTCCTCCCTCTGTCTTTCTTTATTTCTCTCGACCCTCCCATCGCACGCTATCTCTCTCTCGCTTTCTATCTTTCCCTCTCCTTCTGCGCATCACTTCGTCCCACTTTCTCTCTCTTCATCTCATAATCGTTCTTTTTCCCTTTCATTTCCTTTCACCCCTCACTTCCTTTCTAATACCCTTTTTCTCTTTCTCTCCTCTTACTTCTCAGATCCTCCCGCTTCCTTCTCTCTCTCTCATCTTCTCATGTTTTGCTTGCTTTCTTTCTTTCTTTCTTTCTTTCTTTTTTTCTTTCTTTCTTCCCGATCATCCATCGTCTCTTTCTCTTTTTCCTCTCTCTCTCTACTCACCGTTCTTCCTTCCTCAAAGGAATCTCTTCATCTCATAGCCGTTCTTTTTCTCTTTCACTTCCCCCCGCCATTTCCTTTCTCTCACTCTTTCTATTTTTCTCTTTCGCTCCCGCTTAAAATCAGATCCCAAACCATCTCTCCCTTCTCATCTTCTCACGGCACATAAAAAAGTTTTTTTATTTCTCCGCCCACCAATCTTCTCACTCAAATGGATTTTCTTCCTTTCCCTTTTTCTCTCCCCCTACTCATCCTTCTTCCGCTCCCTCACTTTTTCTCTCTTCATCTCATAGTCGCTCTTTTACACTTTCTTTCCATCTCACCCCCCTCACTTCCACTCTTTCTATTTTCCTCGTTCTCATTATCTCCCTCTTGTCGGATTCCATCGCTTTCCCCCACTCTCTCCCTTTCTCTATTTCACTTTATCTCTTTCTCTTTCTTTCTCTACCCACTCTCCGTCCGTTTTATCTTCCCTTGATTATGATGAGTGCACTTAGTACAAATATTTTTCAACTAAAAATAGAACCGGTTTTAATCTCCGTCACTTAAGTTCGATTTATTAAACTTTAAAGCCGTTCTTTTTAAGAAAAAGATGAATTGAAACAGTAAAAAAATAAGAAGATTGAAACAAAAAAAGGAATGAAAAGAATTTGTAACTATGCAAAGGAATTTCGATTGGAAAAAGGGTGTCTCAAGACAGTGTCAGTTAGGGTTCATGTCGCTTAAGTAATCGACTGCAAAACTATTCGGATATTTTACGTTTAATTTCAATTTTATTGATCACGATTGGTTCTTGATTATGAATATCATTAATCTTTTTATGGATGTTCAATAAGCAATATTTTCTCATTTCATTTCATCTTTCATCTTTGTTAATTTTCAATTTTATATTTGATTTGTTTTCTTTCTATTTTTCTGTTTCTTTCATTCTTATTTACTTCCATATTGTTGTTCAAATCTCCTTCATTTTGAAATATCTTTCGCCTTAAGATATTTCAGATTGCGACGGCGAAAAAAAGAAAAGCAAACGGGAAGTAGGAAAAGGAATGTGAAAAGGGAAAAATTATGAAAGTATGACATCAATTAAACTACAACTAAATTAAATTGCAATGAGTGACAAAAGCATTAAAACATCTTTTTTTTTTAATGTCACCATTTTGCTAGATATAAGGTGGGGGGAGAATTCCTGGCTATGGAATCTTTTCATTGCCTCGGCTTCGAATTTTCTTTGTTTCCTTTATTTTAATTTTACCCACACTGAATGTGTTTATTTAAACAAAGAATTTAATTATTTTCTTTTTATATTTGTAATTTCTTTGAAAACTATGCAGAAGATTTTTTTTCTTCTGAAGTTTTCATTCGAGAAACAAAATAACTTCGCGTTTGATTGTATCATATAACTTCCTCACGATGCAAAATAAACATTAAAAAAACACTTACCCTCATACAGAAAGGAAGTTTACCAAAGTGTAGTATATATCTCACACCCAGCTAATACCAGAATATATTTCGCATCCGCGGGATGGCTAAACGGATGATCGGACCCTCAAGTGCACACCCACGTTTCACATGATGTCAGTGAGTGATATAAAGAGATTTACTTCATCCACCCAGCTGCACCTAAGGTCTTCCTCGTAGGAAAATCATTTGGCAGGTCATTATATAAACACCCACGCAAGTGGGAAGAAAATTCTTATATTAACAAATTAATGTAGGCCTCAAAGTCACATACACATATTAGCCGACACGTGAATGTAGGGTCCGCGTTCAGAGAAGGCCTCAAAGTCGCATACAAATATTAGCCGGCAGGTGAAGGTAGGGTCCGCGTACAGAGAAGGCCTCAAAGTCACATACACATATTAGCCGTCACGTGAATGTAGGGTCCGCGTTCAGAGGACTCAAAGTCACATACACATATTAGCCGACACGTGAATGTAGGGTCCGCGTTCAGAGAAGGCCTCAGAATCACATACACATGTTAGCCGGCACGTGAATGTAGGGTTCGCGTTCAGAGAAGGCCTCAAAGTCACATACACATATTAGCCGACACGTGAATGTAGGGTCCGCGTTCAGAGAAGGCCTCAAAGTCACATACACATATTAGCCGACGCGTGAATGTAGGGTCCGCGTTCAGAGAAGGCCTCAAAGTCACATACACATATTAGCCGACACGTGAATGTAGGGTCCGCGTTCAGAGAAGGCCTCAAAAACACAACAGCATATTAGCCGGCACGTGAATGTAGGGTTCGCGTTCAGAGAAGGACTCAAAGTCACATACAGATATTAGCCGGCACGTGAATGTAGGGTTCACGTTCAGAGAAGGCCTGAAAGTCACATACACATATTAGCCGGTACGTGAATGTATGGTCCGCGTTCAGAGAAGGCCTCAAATCACATACACATATTAGCCGACACGTGAATGTAGGGTCCGCGTTCAGAGAAGGACTCAAAGTCACATACACATATTAGCCGGCACGTGAATGTAGGTTTCGCGTTCAGAGAAGGCCTGAAAGTCACATACACATATTAGCCGGCACGTGAATGTAAAATCCGCGTTCAGAGAAGGCCTCAAAGTCACATACACATATTAGCCGGCACGTGAATCTAGGCTCCGCGTTCAGAGAAGACCTCAAAATCACATACACATATTAGCCGGCACGTGAATGTAGGGTTCGCGTTCTGAGAAGTCCTCAAAGTCACATACACATATTAGCCGTCACGTGAATGTAGGGTCCGCGTTCAAAGAAGGCCTCAAAATCACATACACATATTTGCCGGCACGTGAATATACGGTCTGCATGTAGGGTTAGCCGACAGTCGTTGACAAAACGGAAATGTTACATATGTGAGATTCAAAACTCGTGTTTTCATTTGTAAGTTGCGAAGATAACATTACAAAAGTTTTTTACGCCAGCTTTTCAAGATTTAAAGAAAATGGTCCCCTGGAAATCATCCTTGATGAAACTTTTTAATTGAAATACTCTATCTTCACAGTAGATATGTATAAAGCATTAACATAGAAATTCTATATCACCTGCTTGCCTGGTAAGTTGTAAATTAATTTTCTTACTAAGTTATAAATTCATTTTATTTTTAATTAAAATAAATAGTAATTTACAACTTGGTTTTAATAAAATTCTGTTATTACCAATGAAGTATCAAGATCAATATTCCTTAACCTATTGATACCTAAGATAAAATCAAGTGCTAATTATAGAATTATATTGGTGGGAATGTATGACAAAGTGGAAAAAGTTTAATTTTGACGCATTTCTTTCTCTAGGACAATACCGGACTAAATTTGTTATGCTGGTGCGACTACACATGCGCACGAACGAGGGATGCTGGGATTTTTAAATTTAATTTTTTTTTTCTCTAGCCGATTTAATTTAGATTCTTTTTTTTTTTCTTTTTCTTTCTATCACTTTTGTTAGTATATATCCCTGTGTTAATAGTTCTGTCAGGAATTGTGAAATGTTATAAGAAATCCGGGGTTCATTATAAGGTTATAAAAAAGATCTTATATTGATTATAGGGTTATTAAAAAAATCTGGCATTATATGGTTATTAAAAAATATCATTAATTATAAGCTTATAACAAAATCTTAAAGGGTTGTAAAAATATCCGGAATTAATTAAATGGCTAAAATATTCCGGTATTAATTAGTATAATAAAAAAGATCATATATTAATTACAGTGATAAAAAATATTGTATTAATTATAGTGTATAAAAAATCAGCATTAATTATATACAGTATTATAAAAAAAATCCTGTCTTAATTATAGGGTTATAAAAAATCATACCTTAATTATGAGGTCATAAAATCCGGTATTAATTGTAAGTTTATAAAAATACGGTTTTGATCATAATGTTAAAACCCGGTATTAATTAGAGGGTTAGAGAAAATATCCGGGATTAATTATAGGGTTAGAAAAAATATCCGGAATTAATTATAGGGTTAGAAAAATATCCGGGATTAATAAGTATCACTTGTGGTTTCATAAAGAACGGTATTAATTATAAGTTTATAAAAATTTGGTATTAATTACTGGTTTCTAAAAGATAATTATTAAAATCCAATATTAATTGTGGTTTCATAAAGATCATGTATAGCAGTCTAACTTAACCCCTTTCCTAGAATATACACGGGGGTGTAGTTTACTCTGGACCAAAATAATCCCGACTTATGATTGTTACAGGATATAAAATAGTCTAGTCCAAGATGTCCGCCAGTTCATACCCACTTTTCTTATTGTTATCAACAACTGTTTTCCTATAATATTACGTGATAACTCCAGTTTACCAAATGACTGATATAAACTTATTCAACAGTGAGGAAATACAATAAAAATGATCACTTTTCCATCATTTTGACCAATGTCAATAGTCGTCCAGAATTTAGGCTACTAATGTACAAACCAACGAATCAGGATAAAGCCTTTGCTTGTAAAATGCATAAGGAAATCTCTGCGGGCGGTTGGCAGTGAATGAACCAAATTTAACACGAATATTATCTGGCCATACATTCTTGGAAAATATGAGAAAAGAGGGATTATATGATGGCCTAGGTGGGTATATTCTATAAGTGATGTGTAGTATGTGATTTAGAAAGATTATGATCAATTTTTTAGTCTCTCAGATAACATCAATGACTCATAATAGCTGCATATGGCAATGTGTTGATAAGAATCCAGTAGAAAACCAAATCTGAAGCACAAAGATGGGAAGAAACAAAACAAAAGAAAGGGAATTTTGCAAAGATATAACAATTAGCTGCTGAGATCATTTTATATTCGGAGGTATAAATAGCGCTCGCCTAACTTATACCCCAGGTATAAACCAGCCTAGCCTGAATGACCTTGGGGAATATCTAGGCTTGTGGGGTATAATCCGTGCTGTTACATCGGTATTTTGGGGGGGGGATAGCGAGAATTAATGCGTTAATGTGATTTCCATGACATCTCATACAAAATTCTTCAGAGCAAAAGAATTGGATGCTGCAAATAGCCTAAGGAAAACTGGAACTACATACTAAAAAGTTCAAAATTGTGGTTTTGTATAAATGAAGAAAAGAAAATATAAATACGTAATTTGGAATTGATTTCCTTCTGTTATAAAAAGATGTAAACGCGGGAAAGTGAAAATAGAAACATGTTTTCTTAATGTC